CTTTCTTGACAAATTAAAGAATTGTAAGGTGTTTATAAAAACCACTGATACTATGTTTATTCATTATAGAAAAATAAGTTGTTTTAAAGCACTATTAGTTACCATGGGTTATCGGTGAAAAGCTATTTCAACATTCATGGCTGCAACCAACCAAAGTTTTGCCATTTCTCTTTTTTGTTTTTGTTTTTGTTTTTTTGAGACAAAGTCTCACTTTGTCGCCCAGGTTGGAGTGCAATGGCGTGATCTCAGCCCACTGCAACATCTGCCTTCTAGGTTCTTGTGCCTCAGCCTCCTGAGTAGCTGGGATTACAGGCGCACACCACCACACCCAGCCAATTTTTGTATTTTAGTAGACACGGGGTTTCACCATGTTGGCCAGGCTGGTCTCAAACTCCTGACTTCAAGTGATCCACCCACCTCAGCCTCTGAAAGTGCTGGGATTACAGGTGTGAGCCGCTGTACTCGGCCCTAACTCTTATTCTCAAATAGATGTATTCAGAAAATCTGTCTTCACTTTAGCTCTGCTGCTTCAGTACCTTTGATTATGTTTGCTGTGCTCTCCCTTCTATGATAAACTGCATCTCCTCTATGAATCTTTCCCTGGTCATCTTAGCTAGAAGAGATGTTTCTCATCTCCCCCACTTAATTCTTCTGGTACTTATTGCCTGTCCCACTTATTATCCCACATACATTACAGTTTCAGAAGCAGCATGGTGGAGTTAAAATAGAATGGATTTTGTACACAGAGATCAGGATTTGAATCTTGAATTACCTGTATGACCCAGAATACCTTACTTCTCTCAGCCTTAGCTTCTTTGTTTAGTAAGTGGAAATAATGCCAACCTCAGAAGGCGGTTGTGAAAACTAGATGAAATTAGTGTATATAAAATGGTTAACACATTGTCTGGCATATAATAGGTACTCAACAAATGTTATTTATCTTCCATCTGCCTTCTCTACTCTCCACTCAGAATGTAAGGACTATATTTTATGCCTCTTTGTAACTATCTTTGCACTTAATACATGTGGCAGATGAAAAGTTTATTGAACAAATGGATAAGCAAAGATAGTTATGTATATAGGATTATTCTTTGTAATCATATTCTATATATTGAGATTTCTAGTATGACTTTTTTTTTTTTGAGACAAGATCTCACTTTATCCCCAGGCTGGAGTATAGTAGTACGATCTTAGCCCACTGTAGCCTCGAATTCCCAGGCTCAAGCAATCCTCCTGTCTCAGTCTCCCAAACAGCTGGGGCTACAGGTGTGTGCCACCATGCCCGGCTAAGTGTATTTTTTATTTTTTGGTAGAGATGGGGTCTTGCTGTGTTGCCCAGGCTGGTCTTGAACTCCTGAGGTCAAGCAATCCTCCCACCTCAACTTCCCAAAGTGCTGAGATTACAGGTGTGAGCCACAGCACCTCGCCCCTAAGTGACTTTCAAGTACAGACAATTAATTTTGATGTCAGAAATCACAACTTTATTAACATAACCACAGAATAGCATCACAAGGTTTGTGTTCTTTTGTTTAGGTATGTCTTACTGAAAGAAAGAAATATGCTTTTAACCCTAGAACAGGAGGCCAAGCGGCAGAGATTGCCAATGCCAAGTCCAGAGCGGTTAGATAAGGTAAGGATTGGGGGAGGCTGGAGACTGGTATACACGATTACAGCTAAAAGGAGTTTAGCTATGTGGTTCTTGTATTTGTTGTCAAATAGATTTTTTTTTTCTTATTTGTTTGAGTTTTAGTAAATGTGAGTAGTGCAACCATCATAGTTCATTTGGAAACATTTCCATCCCCCCTAAAAGAAATCTGATACTCATCTGCAGTCATTCCTCATTTCTACCTGCAAGGTTTTTTGTTTTTTTTTTTTTTTGGTGGGGACGTGGGGGGCAGGAGGGTCTCACTCTGTCACCCACGCTGGAGTGCAGTGGTGTGATATCTTAGCTCACTGCAACCTCCACCTCCCAGGATCAAGCGATTCTCTTGCCTCAGCCTCCCAAGTTGTTGGGATTACAGGCACGTACCACCATGCCAAGCTAACTTTTGTATTTTTGGTATAAATGGGGTTTCACCATGTTGCCAGGCTGGTCTCAAACTCTTGACCTCAAGTGATCTACTCACCTCGGCCTCCCAAACCTACCTGCAACTTCTAACATAAATGTGGACAACTGTTTTTATTTGAGTAGATACCTAGGAGTAAAATTACTGGCTTATATGGTAAATCTATGTTTAGCATTTTAAGAAACTGCCAAACTGTTTTCTAAGTAGCTATACCACTGTACATTCCTAGTTCTGGTTTAACCATTTCATTAATAACTAGATCAGTTTTTTACTGCTTTTTAAAATACTGTGGTAAAAATCACATAACATAAAATTTACTATCTTGACCATTTTTAAGTGTAATAGTCAGTAGTGTTTAATAGATTTACAATGTTGTGAAAGGTTGGTTACTTTTTTTTTTTTTTTGAGACAGAGTTTTGCTCTTGTTGCCCAGCCTGGAGTGCAATAGCGTGATCTCGGCTCGCTGCAACTTCCGCCTCCCATGTTCAAGCAATTCTCCTGCCTCAGCCTCCCAAGTAGTTGAGACCCCAGGCACACACCACCACGACTAGCTAATTTTTTGTATTTTTAGTAGAGACGAGGTTTCACCATGTTGGCCAGGCTGGTCTTGAACGCCTGACCTCGTGATCTGCCTGTCTCGGCCTCCCAAAGTGCTGGGATTACAGGTATGAGCCATCGTGCCCAGCCAAAGACTTATGTTTTTATTTAGATTTATGTTTTTACTCAGTTGCTTTCAAGATCAACCCTTTATTGATTTTTTTCTGTGGCATAGTAAGTAGTGAGAACAGAATTCAGTTTTTGTAATAGCATTAGTGCTGCTAGCTAACCTTAGCTACTTTAGTTTCCTTTCCTCACACCAGTCGCAGCCATTGTTACCACACTGCCTTTAAGATGGAAGGACAACAATACCTGGAGAAAATCAAAGAAGAAAAAAATGAAACCTCATTGATTTGCCCTAATTATGGAGAAGGTTATTCTGATGTAGTTAAAGTTGAGTTATATAACATTTTTTTCTTTTATCTTTATTTTGACATAATATTAGACTCACAGAAAAATTACAAGAATAGAAGAAGAAATTCTCATATACCCTTTACCCCGATTCCTCTGTTTTACTGCATTTACCTTATCCTTCTATTCATCCATCACTCCTCCATACACATTATTTTTTCTCAAATGTTTGAGAGTAAGTTGTACACATGACATCCCTTTATCTGTAAAAACTTCATAAAAACCAGGATATTCCCTTATATAACCACTGTGTAATTTTCAAAATCAGGAAATTAACATTGATACAATTCTATTAGCTGTAATCTACAGATCTTATTCAGAGTTTATCAGTTATCCCAAGTGTCCTTTATGGCAAAAGAAAATTCTGCATCATGAATTTTCATGTGTCTCTTTAGTCTAATCTGGAGACTATCTCCTTTAATCTTTCACTGTGTTTCCTGACATTGAACTTTTTTAAAACGATAGGGCCTGGGAGGTTGAGGCTGCAGTGAGCCCCGATTGCACCACCAAACTCTAGCTTCGGTGACCGAGCCAAGACCCTGTCTCAATAAATAAAAAACTGAAAGTGCATTGACAAGGATGCTTTATAAAGAACACATTATTTGATGAAAAAGCTTTTGTTATAATGGTGCTGTTATAGAACTTTTGAATTTCAACAGTGGATTATCTGCTTTAAATATATATTTCAGAGGTGAACTTCAGCCCAGTAGGTCATATGTACTGCACTTTCTCAATCAGTAGAACCCAAAATAATAGAAGTTTACTCCAGAGAAGCTGAAAGTGACCGTAATTTTTTCAAACTTCAAATATATCTGGTGTTTCCAGTGTTTTGTGACATACTACTAGGAAACTTTATTAAGCAAAAATGTAAAAAAATTTCTCAATATAAGATAGAAACCAAAGATTTGGAACTATTTTAAGGAAAACAGAAAAGAAGAATTATAACTGGGATATAATTCTTATCACTGGGCTGATCTGAGTTGATACCCAGTTCAAGCATATTACAGACAAATTTTACTTACAGAATAATATAAAAATTAAGGGAGAAATTGTATAATTCTGGCACAACAGCTATGATTGTAACTAAAGTATTAACTATCCATCTGAGATAAAAAACCCTCACTATATGTGCTTCTCTTCAGAGTATTAGTACCTATTTATCACACAAATAAATGATATTATGTTACTTCCCTTGTGTTTGAAATACAGAAACAAGGCACATGATAAAAGATTGATTATAATTTTGCAAGTGTACCTTTTTGTCTCTTTTTAAAAAATGTGTTTCAAGGGCTACTCTGTAATATTAATTCTTGGCTGTAAAGAGAAGTGTATACTCTTACCCTGGAACACAGTCCTATTAATTTTATATTCTCTCAACTGACACTTTTGGCACTGAGAAACTTACAGAAAAGATGGCTCTTTGAGGTTGACTTGTTTACAGTAAGGTATATCTAAATAATACTTCTGATTTTCCTTCACATTTCTTGGCATGAACTTCTGAATGTTAATTCTGTGGACTTGGTAGCCATTTACTTTCTATCTTTGTGAGCTAACATTGGATTTCAGCTGAAAGCCTCAAGTCTTACCCTTGCTTAGGCAAACTGTTTAATGTAGTTAATCAACAACCAGATTTACTAAAAATTTCTAAAGATTAGCGAATTTTATATAAAGCCCTTATCAGTGTGGTCCCTTTACCCTCCTGAGTTTGCTTGTCTTCAAAATAGAATTTGCCTTAGTCATCTTTTCTTTTTCGGGGATTTTGTAGAAAATAAAATAGTTAAGAGGAAGGCATGTGAATTCAGCTACTGTAAGCCATTTAGTGAAGTTGAGGATAGCAGAAGTGCTGAGTGTGAACTGAGCAGGTTATGGGCCGGGTGCGATGGCTCACGTCTGTAATCCCAGCACTTTGGGAGGCCAAGGCAAACAGATCACTTGAGCCAGGGAGTTTGAGACCAGCCTGGGCTACATGGCAAAACCCTGTCTCTACCAAAAACATACAAAAATCATTCGGGCGTGATAGTGCATGCCTGTAGTGCCAGCTACTTGGGAGGCTGAGGTGGGAGGACTGCTTGAGCCTAGGAGGCAGAGGTTGCAGTGAGCCAAGATGGTGCCACTGCACTCCAGCCCGGGTGACAGAGCTAGACCCTGTCTCAAAAAACAAAAATGAAACAGATTATGAAATAATTTATCTAAATTTGTGGCTTTCACATCTTTTTCAGATCTCATAGCTACCTGGGAGATTATAATCTGTGCTTTTTTTGAGGATTCTTATGAGAAACAAATGTGCTTATGCAGCATTTGATATCTCTTGTGATGCTTAAGGGACATACATAACACATAAAATGGCTCTCAGTATGTATTTAGAACTATGAAAAAGTTTGGCCCATCTCACATTACAATCCCCAACATATGAATATTTATGTATAAACAAATATAAGGCCGGGTATGGTGGCTTATGCCTGTAATCCCAGCACTTTGGGAGGCCAAGGTGGGCAGGTCACCTGGGGCCAGGAGTTCGAGACCAGCCTGGCCAATATGGTGAAATCCCGTCTCTACTAAAAATACAAAAAATTAGCCGGGCTTGGTGGCGGGTGCCTGTAATCCCAGCTGCTCAGGAGGCTGAGGCGGGAGAATCACTTGAACCTGGAAGGTGGAGGTTGCAGTGAGCTAAGATAAGTGAGCCGAGATCACACCACTGTACTCCAGCCTGATTGACAGAGCAAGACTCTGTCTC